TGTTAATGTTGTTGTTTCCTCTTCCCCAGCAGATAATACCATGTTATGAGTTCTTTTTTACGACACCTTTTCTTCCTTGATTAGGGTGAGATATGGTTCCTTACCTAAACTTCTAGCAAAATTATTAGTTTTTGTTGCTCGAATAAACTTTTTTTTAAAACATTCTCATATCTCCTTGGTAGTTGAACAACACACATGCAATTACTTGTGTGTTTTCTTCGGTCAAGGTGCTTGAGATCCAACTCCTTAGTAACACATCTTTCTCTTCCAGTCATCAATAGTGTCACTATCTTTTGCATTCTTCTTAGCCGCTACAACTTTTCCACCAGTCTTTCCAGTGGAACAACTACTTTTACTTGGTTCATTCTCTGTGATATGAATCAATTGGGATATGTATGTGATGTGAGGAGGTTGCCATGATTTTTTGTAGAAGGGTCCAATGCAACGTGTGAGTTTTCTTTTTTTTGATTAATGCTCAGTGACCGGAAGAGCTTTAAGCTCTGATATCATATAGAAATCCATGTAGAAATCTCACATTTTAGACTTAGAGAAATCAATGATTGTATTGATTATATTGATCTATTGATAGATTGATCAATATTGGTAGTATTGATATGTTGATCAATATTGATAGTATTGATAGTATTGATATATTGATCAATATTTGTTGTATTGATCTATTGATCAATAATGATAAATTGATAAATCATAATGTTAATAACATACTCCTTATATAGGAGAGAATTGTAGAGTCCTAAGTAAACTATACCTAGAGTATAACTACAATACCTATTACTGCTACTACTATAATAATAATAATAATAATAATAATAATAATAATAATAATGCAATTATCGATAATCTAATCCTAGTTGTACTATAATTTTAATCATAAAAATAATTCTAGACGAAATATAATCCTAATTAACATAGATAGTCTAATCCTAGTGCGACTCTAATTCTTTAGCAGTGTTGTAACTCGTCAGTCAGCTTCGTTAGACCTCTTTCTTCGACATGTTCTAATCCTCAGCTTACTTCTTCATCGACACTTGCTGTAGACAAGTCAGTCAACTGTCTTGGACCTGCTTTGACATGTACAATCGTTAATTTTCTTCTTCTTCAACAAACACAGCATTTAATTATACTCAAAGCACACACAAAAAAAATCACATTAAATTTCCTATTCTCAATAGAAAATTTTATACGGGTAGATAGTCTCCTAGTTTTTTCAATTATGTTTGGCTCCAATAAATGGGATGCATAGTGTACAAACTAATGATCCACTATTTTAGATATATTTAACTACACCGTCAATATAAATAATTTTTATATTATTATATCAGTTTAATTTTTATCTTATTATCGATAGAAAGTGAAAAATATTTTTAAAATTTAATTAAAATATACAAAAAAAAAGAGTTAATCCGAGGGCTTAATAAACCCAAGTGCATAAAGTGCGGCAATCAATGATTGTATTGATTGTATTGATCTATTGATAGGTTGATTAATATTGGTAGTATTGATATGTTGATCAATATTGATAGTATTGATATGTTGATCAATATTGATAGTATTGATATATTGATCAATATTTATTGTATTGATCTATTGATCAATAATGATAAATTGATAAATCATAATGTTAATAACATACTCCTTATATAGGAGAGAATTGTAGAGTCCTAAGTAAACTATATCTAAAGTATAACTACAATACCTATTGCTGCTACTACTACTATAATAATAATAATAATAATAATAATAATAATAATAATAATAATAATAATAATAATAATAATAATAATAATGTAATTATCGATAATCTAATCCTAGTTGTACTATAATTTTAATCATAAAAATAATTCTAGACGAAATATAATCCTAATTAACATAGATAGTCTAATCCTAGTGCGACTCTAATTCTTTAGCAGTGTTGTAACTCGTCAGTCAGCTTCGTTGGACCTCGTCCTTCGACATGTTCTAATCCTCAGCTTCGTTGGACCTCGTCCTTCGACATGTTCTAATCCTCAGCTTCCTTCTTCATCGACACTTGCTGTAGACAAGTCAGTCAACTGTCTTGGACCTGCTTTGACATGTACAATCGTTAATTTCTTTCTTCTTCAACAGACACAACATTTAATTATACTCAAAGCACACACAAAAAAATCACATTAAATTTCCTATTCTCAATAGAAAATTTTATACGGGTAGATAGTCTCCTAGTTTTTTCAATTATGTTTGGCTCCAATAAATGGGATGCATAGTGTCCACTATTTTAGATGAATTTAACTACATCGTCAATATAAATAATTTTTATATTATTATATCAGTTTAATCTTTATTTTATTGTCAATAGAAAGTGAAAAATATTTTTAAAATTTAATAAAAATATAAAAAAAAAGTTAATCCCAACTACTATCATAGAAAAATGAATATTTTTCTAGTGACATGATAGTATAGAGATTTCTTTCCACAATAATTCGACATGTATATAGTCAAAAGCCACCTTATGAAAGGAAGGTTACGTGGTAGGTGAACTTAAATAAACAATGTATTAAATTTGATCATCATTGAATACAGTATTAAATAACTCAAAATAATAAATCTTAAAGCAATTTATATTATATTATTAGAAATTTCGTCAAATTAAACCACTAAATAAATAGACTTTTTGTGTTAAGTGCGTAGTCCATTTTTTGGTCCTGCGTGTTCATTTAATAAAGTAGTATTAATATATACTAAGCAACTCGATGGGTTCGAATTTTTAGAATGAAAGAGATCAAAAGTTCAGAAATTAATTTTGAAATGAACAAATTTGATTTATTTTCATTTTAATATAATGTTGCCATCAAATATTAAATACGAAATTAAAAATATAAAAGTCTTACTTTCATTTTGGTATGAGAAATAAATAAATAATTTGGATTTTCTTTTTCAATCTTCTTAGTAGCTAAGTAAAAGTCTTTAATTAGAATTTAGAGAAAAAGATAAACTTATAAAATAAGAAAAGTGAAACGTTTAAAATAATTTAAATTTCTAGAATGTGACACATGTTAGCCATGACTTCACCAAATGTTAGTGGTTTGGACTAAGGTGTACCAATAAAATTAACTAAAGATATTTTTATAACGTAACACTTAAAAATATAATTTTGAAATTGTGAAACATAAATACAAAAATATAGAAGGTCGAAAAAGGCAAGTAATAGAGAGAAAGAGGTGAGCGAGATATGAGATATATATTCATTAAATGTATTTAAAGATAAATATAATTTATTTAATTAAAAGTGATTCGAACTAATATTGCACTTATTAAAATTATTATGGCATTAAATAAATAACACCTGTATCAATTTGGTACTTTATAAGTCAATATAAGTAGCCCTTATATATATATATTAAGGATGGCGGAATGAATGGATTGGATTAAATTTGTGCGAATTAAAATAAGTCAAGATAATAAATGGGTTAAAATTCAATCCAAGCAAAATTTATTTTGATCAAAACAAGTTGGGTCAAAATGGATTAGATAACGAGTTCATAATTCAATCAGTCCAATTTTTATTAAGTTGTAAAACTTTTTTTTGCTATTTTATAAGTTTTAAGTACATAATAAAAAAATTTCTTTATTATAACTATATTAACATATAAAATAAGATAAAAGTTTTTTAAAAATATATTGACACGATTTCTCAAGAATCAAATTGGGTCACATATCAATTCAATTTTTAATCGGTTTGCATGAGTTGAGTTATAGATGGGTTGAACTAACAAATGGGTGGGTCAATAATCATTTTTTAGGGCTTGTTTGGATTGGCTTTTGGCTTATGCTTATAAGCCAAGAGTCATAAGTTAGGATTTATAACTTATGACTTTTGACTTATTTTGTTGTTTGACTTTAAAATAAGTATTTTTAAATACTTTTTAACTTTACCCAAACACTTCAGAAAAATTATTTTAACTTAAAAATACCTAAAATAAGTTAATTCAAACGGACACTAAACCTAAATGAATTGGGCCAGATTGAACGAATTAAATGTGATTTTTGTCACTCCCGGCCCAAGCCCAGGCCCAGGTCCAAACTCAAATTTGTATTTGTTAACTAATTTCATCTAACAAATTAGTAGCATTTCCTCGTGAAGTTTAATAGCATATATAATGGACACTATTTATACACTATTTTAATCTTTTAATATTCGTACTTGAGTTTTATTTGATTCAATGTGCATGACATTAATGATGATTATTATGAATATCCTAATATGTTTTCTTATGCATATGATATTTAGCCAATATAGAAATCATATTTGTACATTATAACTATAATTTATATAATTGCACTTTACAGTAAACATTAGGTTTGTTGTGACTATTTCGCTTTACATATATACAAAAGAAGTAATTGTATAATATATTTCAATATACATATACAAAAAAAATGAATTGTATAATTTGTGTTTTATAAAATGAGAAAAAGACAAAAGAAAACTGGGCAGGAAAAATCATATTTGTATAATCATAAGTGCATAAGACGAAAAAATATGCATTTATACTTGTATATACAACTTTCTCTCGCTTTATTCAAACACAAACACAATATATATATATTTGTGATATGAGAGAGGAAAGAAAAAGAAAAGAAAATATATGTATATATATAATTTTCTTTCGTTTTATACGAACACATTTTATTTTGTATAAGATCATAATCACGATTATGTTTTTTGGAACTATACTGATCATCTCAGTTTCTGAATTTCAATATTTTATTTAATTTAAATTGGAAAAAATTCCAGATATTGGTCGATTTTAGATATTAAATACTTTGAGAATAATCTTACATCCTGACAAGAAAAATAAGAAATCTAATTACGTGAAATAAACAATTGAATTTATTTGTTTTCTAAAATTACCAATGAGGACCTCAATAAGTATAACTCCATGCGGTAAATATAAGGGCAAAATAGTCCTATAATTCCTTAATATAAAACCAAAATTTTATGTCTTATAAGCCTTTTACCCAATCGAAGACAAATTCTGTACAACATTTCAGCAGCAAAAGGGAGCAATTGAACCCACGCGCCGCCGCAGTTAACCGTTACGATAACTCTCCCTCGGTTGCTCCACCAGCTCTATGAATGAGAGAGTAAAGGTGAAGTCTTTGAATGCCTAAATTGTTCATCAATGGCTGCGTCGTCGCCTGCCCTAAGTAACAGCGCCGATAACGCTCCGTCACCGGCACCTGCCCCCGCCGTTCCCACCGCAACCGCTGCTGCTGCTTTTTCCAGCCTTCCGACGACAAACGCATCAAAAAATCTCCGAGGGCTTAATAAACCCAAGTGCATAAAGTGCGGCAATGTTGCTCGCTCAAGGTGATGTCTTTGTTCTTTGTCGTTTCTGTATAGCTTTTTTTTTTTCAGTTTATTCCATTGAAATTGTGCTTCAGAAATCGTAATTCCCAGTTTATTCCCTTCATAAGTGTATGTCCATGATTATTGCACATATCCACTGTGGATGAACTCAGAGATTTAAGTGTTCCCTTGAATTATGCGTTGTATTAATGTTAGTGTAGCCAGATACCTAATGATAGTTGAAAAATCTGTTTGATAGAGAGGACTAGTTTCATAAGTCAAATGAACTTGAGGTTTTGAAAGTTGAACAAATTGTATGGGGAGTACTATTTTAAGTGGAATGCAGTCAAACAGTTCAGAATTTTTCAAAATGGAAAGAATATAATTTAGATTATAAGCAAATGCAGTCTCTATGTATAGTAGACAGATTAACAACAAATGCAGTTTGTTAAGAGCCAGGGAATCATTTGGTCATTCCTTCTCGATGTGATTACTGCTTTCAGATTTCATGTTTTAACCACTGGATTTTGTCCAGAAGAAGGCTTAAATTGAGTGGCTTTCAGTATTTGGTTTAATTGCAGCTTGTCAGTCTCTCAAGAGAAAGGAAGAATCTTTGTACACGATTGAAGAAACAATGAATTTGGTATGCATCACTGTAGAGATAAAATGAATTATTCGTAGGCTCTTGTTTGTGGCAGAGTGTTGGCCAGTCAAGAATGCCACGTTCAGAAGATGAAGGTAGCGGAGATCAGGATATTCAAATAAATGTGTGTGCATATTGGGAGAGATATGATTGTGAATGAAGCTATATGGGACAAGGTGGGAGTGTAGCGGACAAGATGAGGGAAGTAAGGGTGAGATGGTTCGTACATGTGAACAGAAGGTGCCAGTGAGAAGGTGTGAGACGTTTACTATAGCAGGAGTCAAGAGTGGCAGTAGAAGCAAACCGAAGAAGAATTGGGGGGTGGGGGAGTGATTAGACATGACATGCCACGACTTTAGCTGAGTGAGGACATGATCTTACATTCGAAGGTATGAAAGTGGAGGATTAGGGTAGAAGGTCAATACGTAGTCAAGTGTTATCGTACCTTTAGTAGTATGATTTAGGTATCAAGCACTTCCCTTTAATCCAATGTGTATTAGTATCTGTTGCTGCAATTGTTTTGTACATTTTATTTTGTTTTCTCTTGTTCTTTCTTACTTTCAAGCATCAGTTACATTTCTTTTGTGCCGAGGGTTTACTCGAATCTCTACCCCACAAAGGTAGAGACCCTTCCTAGACCCCACTTGTGGGATTACACTAGGTATGTTCTTGTTGTAGTTGTTGCTTGTTTGGGTTGGGAAGGTCTCTGAATAATTTAAATTTATTTATTTTTGTGCATGCATTTGTAAGGTACGTTAATTGTTTGTGGAAACAATTACTTAGTGCTTTATATTTGAAATATAAGCTGATTTTTAGGTTGCTTCAAACACTAAATCATTTGGTTTGGTTACTTAGAGAACAGCAAAGCAATCTAAGCAATTCCAGGTTACAAAGCTTATCAAATGCTATTTGATTCTTTATCAAAATGCCATTTCATCGCCGTCGATTATACAAAAAAACTAGAGCTTTTACACACAGATATGTTGATGGTGACCCAACACTGCTAGTAAGAGGAGTTTCTTATTACTTAGCTGGATGAGCTGACAGTATTCTGATTTACCAATTTCCAGAGAAGAGGCCTGGAAATACGAGTTAGATGACTCTGTTGTTACATTGGCCATCTATTGTTAGCTTCAGTAGTGTGTGCAAATTTAGAATTTAGAGGGTTCTCGTGGCGAATGATTGTTTTAGGTTTGATGGAGTTACATGGGCCTATCTATGGTTTTGCTTGGGAAAAAGAAGTTTCGAATTGGGGGAGCAACACCTGTAAAATACTTGTTAGAAATCAAATTTGGTGTGACTGATTAAATTTGCTTTATCAGATCCTTGCGGACAGAATATTATGCCACAGACATTTCACTTCGGATGTTAGTCGGTTAATCACTATTTGAGCGTGTCAGAGATCAATTTGGATTTTGCTTCCTCATATTTACAACATTGTGCATTAGTTATTTCTTTGGTGTGCAACAGTATATCACCTTTCTTAGAGCCTTTTTGGACTGGCTTATTTTAGGTGCTTTAAGCTAAAGTAACTTTCAAGCACTTTTGAAGTGTTTGGATAAAATTAAGAAGTGCTTATAAACACTTGTTTCTAAGCCGAAATAACAAAAATAAGTCAAAAGCCATAAGTTAGCAATCCTAACTTATGGATTTTTACTTATAAGCCAAAAGCACTAAGCCAATCGAAACATGCTCTTAGTCATCATATTTACTTATAAAACAAAAGGACAGTTTTCTGTTAACTTTTTTCTTTTCCGATATTGTTATGGTATACTTGGAGAGTTTTGTGAAAGCAAGGTACTTTTGGGTAGGGAAACAATTTCAGATAATGTCAGTATTCTAGAAATAATACAGAAAAGGAAAAGTTTTACGGGAATACACCGTCATAGATATATATTTTTATTAACAGAAACCAGAAGTGAAATATTACTTGCATTATCGATTACTTAAATCCAAAGAAAGATTATAGTCATGTAACTTCTTTAATGGGTGAATTAACAAAATGATATGTTTTCTCAACCTAATTCAATTCTTAAAAAAATTAATTTCAGTGGCATGAGAATTAGTATCTTTACATTTTGCAACTTTGCTTGTTTCATTTCTCTGATCATGCTGTGGACTCACCTTTTCATACTTCAGTGTGGAAGTTACAATAGGTGTCAAAATTAAACTACCATTTTTTACTTGAATAAAATATAAAAAAGAAGTTCAACTACAATATTTTCTTTATTTTGAGTTTCCTCATCCGTTTTTTCAGTGACACTTCTTTTTATCAAGAAAACTGGTGTATTCTCTTTAACTCTCTTAGTATGTACAAAGTGAAACAAAGATATTTCTTTGAGGTTGTAGTGGAATGATAATTCTTTTTCCCTTAACTTTTTAATGGTTAGATGTTCTAAGAGAGGTCATGACAATTCTTTTCGTCAAGAGCTTGTGTGGTCACTTTAGCAATCTAGTATAGTTGCACTGTAAACTAAGACACCAAGGAAGTGCTACTCCTGCTTGATCATCCTTTCAATTTTACATTTATAAGGCTAAGACCTTTTGATGAAGCTGCAGCCTTAGGGGTACTATTTTATATAGCAATTACTCCGTAATCGAGAAAGCGGGCTATTTTTTCACTATCACTAAATGATTTTGCTTTTTCGTGGAAAATAAATGCAGATGATTAAATTTAAATTTCTCTCTCCCTGAAAAGCAGAGAAAAGTTAAATTTCACGTCAATTTTGAAGCCGTTACAAGTCATAACTGAGACTTGTCGTCAGTCGACACCTTTAATTGTTGTCATTATGACAGAAATCTAATGCTCGATGGTCAAAGTCTGAAACAAGAGAAGTTAATAGTAATTGACTAACTAATCAAAAGAGGAATAATTCATTAACTATAATGAAAATCGCCTTATAACTTGTGTCTGTTTTCCCCCTCTTTCCTCTATTCCTCCGCCTCTCTCTCTGTGTAAAAGAAATTTTAAAGAAACTGGGTAAGGTAGAAATGGAGGAAGATACTAATGGTGATGTAGACAGGTGATTCTATTTTTAAGCTTCAGATAGCAGTACTCCATCACCTTTTTACTATTTTTCGTGTCATTTTGTCAAATATTTGATCATCTGCTCTCTTAGCGTTATTTGGTAATTACATTGGTGTATTCTTTGATACTATTCGATAAGTAATTTGATGTGAATTATTATCCTCTATTGCAAGTGTAGAAAATAAAATTATGATTATTTTGGAGAGTGGTGAGCTTGGCCCCTTGGTGCTAAGTGAGTGGTATTCAATCTCAGGATCTCGGGGTTAGGGTTGGAAGTTGATCATTGAGTAAATCTCTAGGTTTAAAATATGTTTCTTTTAGCAGGCAATGGTAATCTCTGAGCAGAACAATGGTATTGTTAAAGAAGCTAAAAAGATTCCTTGCAAAACCGAGTCTAATCTGGTAGGACTAAGCCTTAATCCCAATTAGTTGGTGTTGGATCCTTACTGCTATCTTATTCTTTTTTTTTTTTTGCTTATGGATTTTAAAAGATTGTCGATCATTTGACAACTAGCGTCCATATGATTCTAAGTTTGCCTCATCTATTTTAACACCTCTAATGTCATAGTGACTGCACCGATGAACCTGTGCATATGAGGGTTAACAGATGACATAACCATTATCTCAGCTGACATTCTCTCTTCTTATAGTCCATGTGTACTACTGATCTGTTCGGTGGGATCTAATCATTTCTAGTCTTATATGATCACATAGTTATTTCTAACATTCTTATTTCTGCTTCACTTATCTATTGTATATCTAATCTTGTCGTATGACAGGTAAGTTTAAAACCACCGCAGAACTTTGAACATGTCCTTTGTGTATATATATTTGAACCATGATCCTTCTTCTCCATTTGTTATCTCTCTATTTCTTAACATAACATTGATTAGCTTGATAATAAGTTCGACTTTAAACCTTTTTTAAGGCATTACAAGGTGTCGTTTCTAACACAAATATTTCTAACCTTCATATTTTTCATGATATCCTTTGCTTTTTAAGACTTCAGTTGTACATGAAAGTTTCTGTCTTGCATGATCTACCAACATATGTTAAGTTACTATCATGATTTAAGTTGATCAATTAATCAAAGTAGCATCACTATACCTCATTGATCTCATTCTCTCATGTCAAAACCTTTTTGGGATTGCTTTTAATTTGCTTATTTAAAGTTTTTATCCTATTTTCTCTCATTCTTGCTGGTTTATTCATTGCCCGTCCTCACCCCCCCCCCCTTCTTTCTCCTCTCTTCATATGTTGTCTTTCTAATATGGGTGACAATTGAATTTTCAGGTGTCCATTCCAGTCATGCAAAAGCTGCTGTGCGAAAGCGCAAAATCCCTGTCATATCCATGGTATGATCAGCTTAATAATTTCACAGCTACTCTTAGTATTCCTCAATTCTAGTTAATAAGTTGCACCTATGCCTTTTTGTTATGTAGTGTGAAGAATTTGCTCTTTTTAGTATTATCTTTTATTTATCGTATTTTTTTATCTTATATTTACCTTATTCTAGTTTCAGTGGCTTTGATATATTCTTTTTTGTCTCAATAATGCTATTATAAAGTTTTAACATCTAAAGATGGGCACAGTGCTTCATTTATTTATTCCTGGTTTTAAATTTTGAAAGAGTACCATCAAACTTGGGCTAGAGGCCTGGAACCTAAAGCCTTTTCTTTTCAGATTACTTGTGAGTTATTGCTGCACTGAGAATCTTTGGAATTGATTACCAGGAGGTCCCAGATGCTTACCGGCTTACTTATTTGTTCATTGGATGTTGGTTGTGAGTAGTAGAGAAACATGCCACCACATGTAGACGTGATTAAAATTTTGCCCTCCAACTAGAGTCTGGCATCTGTAAGGGTAGTGTGGAGTACCTGATACCCGACCATAGTCGTTGGGGAATCATGGCTTCATGGTTTGAGTATCTGTAAATGTTTTCTGCATTGCTGTTATTGTTGCAAGCCCAAAAGAAAAGGAATACTTTTAGCTTCACACTATTAACCATGGCATTAACATTTGGTGTAATTTTTGTTTTGACATCATTAGGATGTTATGTGGTAATGAACTGCATTTGGGGCTTTTGACATGTAACCGGTTAGTCAACTTTTCATTGACTGCCTAGTTCTTTAAAATGTTGAAAGGATCACATATTTAAAAGTCATCAGATCAAAGAGACTGATAGCAGGGACTTTAGCACACCTTCGGTTAAGGCAATTTCTTGTTTCTTAGAAGCTTTTACTAAAGGGCTGCCTGATAGAGAAAATTTCTTATGTGATTCTATCACTCCTTCTTCTGCTCAATAATATGTATTCTCTGTTTGGCGTTGTGCAGTTCTGAAAGGTGGTTCAACTCTTCCAGATAAGATACCAGCTTCTGGGTCTCCTGTGGTTGACCAGCAGTCTACTGAAGCATCTCACGCTGGGTAAGTTATGCTCAAATATGCATTTTTACGTTTATATATGACTGCTTTAGTGATGAACAGTTTGACTGTTACTGTACCAACCATCTATGATGTAAAGAGTAAGTTACAACCATCAGCTGTCTCAGTTAACAATCCTTCATTAGAAATGCGCTTCGAGGATACTTCATTTTGTGTGATCTCTTCTGTCTTTGCATTGCAAGTTCTTGGCACTCAAATTATTCTTATGATATTTGATTATTATGTTACCTTCTTTGGAATAATCTGTTGAATTACTAGAGTTTGTCACATGCATTTCCATATCTACTGCATGCTCCCACACCCAAATCTTCTGTTAGTTTAGGCAGAATAGATTGCTGATTACTGAGCTTCTTGCTCTTTTGGTAGAATATTGTATTGACTTCTATTTTCTTTACTCAAGGAGTTCACACAGAGCTGTTTCACTTCGTCAACTTTCCACCAATTTTGCACAGTTCAATAATTTGCAGACCCCACTAAGGTCGAGGAGGCCACTGAGCAGAAAGGTATGTGGAGTTCTTGTGTTTTCTCCATGAGTTTACATTTTAAAAAAATTGACCTTAATGATAAACTACAGGATGCACAAGTCATAAACGAATGGAGGTTTATGCAGTTGAAAGAATACAGGGAGAGCAACATTGCAGCTGAAAATGAAGCTTTTGATCGGTACATGCAGAATATTGGTCTATTAGAAGAGGTGTTTGGAGTGAATTCTGCAGAGGATGAGAATAATGAGGATGGTTCGACAGAAGATGAGAATGAAGCAATGATGAACCGGGTGAAGCTACAGCTTAGGTCAGATCCAGTTAGAATAGAGAATACCAGAAAGAGGATGCAATATGTCATAGATCAGGGATTGAGGAAGGGGAGGAAGTTGGAGGCAGGTGACAATGCTACTGACCTTAATGATCTAGATGCACTTGGCAAAAAGAAAAAGGCCAAGACCGCTGAAGCTGAGCATGTTGCGGCATTCGCTGATCTGATGGATAAGTTGAACAAAGCTCGAAATGAGGAAGACCTGAAAGTTTGCTGGGAGATGAAGTCCCAGCTGTTTAACCAACCTAAAAAAGAAAAGCAAACAGAGCCAGAAGATGCAGAGGTATCCAATGAGCAGAGTTTGAAAACTAGTGACCCGCCAATAATGCCATGGGGTCATTCTCAACCTAAATGGTTTAGCACAGTTACTATTGATGATGAAGAACTTCGTCGTATTAATGAAGAGTTTGATTCACTTGAGGATATAGAAGAACTGTAACTTTATACAATCTTTAGGTTGGGTTCTAAATTATGTAGTCATTAGTTAGGTGCGCGATTTCGCGGTCTGAATTTTAACTTTCATGTTGTGATATAGTGACCAGTGAATGGTTGAGAAGTGGTAGTGCCTGGTGCACCGTTTAATGGTAGTCCATTTTATGGAATTTGTGAGAAATCAGTCTTCACCACCTATTTTAGGTGGCTGTTTTATTTCATGCTAACTGGACTTATGAAAGTCCAATTCATATATATTTTGATCCTTTGGGGTTACTCCCAAAATCTAGCAGGCCTTTTAACAATTATGTGCTCCAATATGGATACACAGTTGTTCTGAACAAATGTTTTGAGGGCACAGTGTCTTTTCTGTGTTTTAAGACAAATCAAGATTAAAGGGAAACCTCTTCATAGTTCATACAAATCAAAGTCTTTTATATTTGTTCCTAATATCTAGCCATGAACTTCACGAACAATCTCACAAAGTGGGTTCTAAAGAGGGTAAAGTGTATGTGGACCTTACTATTACGTCGTGGAGATAGAAAGGTTATTTCTGAAAAATCCTCGACTCAAGTGCATCCAACCCAAGTAACAAAAGAAGAGAACAACGGAAGAAAGTATCATATGAAAAGCAATGTAAAGTCTACTAGAGAAAAATAAAGTGATAAAACCATGAACTTCACCAAAAGATCCTTAATCACCCACATATCTAACACTATGTACTTTTTAATGGTTAAGTGACCAAATGCAATATGAAATGACATAGGAAATTGGGGTTATCATTTTCCTTTTACATAATTGTGGGCATGTAGTAATTGGTAGTTGGTAGAAGTCCATAGAGGAAATCCAACACTTAATGTGAAAAAATGAAAGTTAAAAATGACATAATATCCACTTGTTTCCATCAACAAGAAGCCTAAATCCACTACCTCAATTACCACCAAAAATCAGTATATATCAAAATATTTATTGACCATTTTTTGGCCTCACATTAAAAAAATAGCCATTTTTATGAAACTATGAAATTCCATTTGATAAAAGACAATTCAAGTGTTGCTCTAGAGATTCAACGTAGAGTTCTCTATTTCCATTACGATTGTAGAAATGGCATATATTGGCCATTTAATTAACTTCGTCTTTTAAAAAATAGTTAAATTGTTATGTAGTTTTAAATTTCAAAAGTGGAATGAATTTCAAAACGTTATGTTTTACTTATGAAATGTGAAATTTCAAAATGATAACTATTTTTCAATTACAAAAGCTAAAAAGTGGTTATTCGTTAATTTTACTTTTGATCTCATTTTCTTTTCATCTACTTTTCTTGAATTATTCTTAATCATGATCACCAAATCAATATATGCTATAATAATATTTGTTGAATTTATGCACCAAATTCAATTTGACCTTCAATATTATCCTCTTTCACATTACCAAGACCAAAATTCTTCCCATATAGCACTATCAAATTCATAATATGCCTTTAATGACATGTCAATAGAGCATCATCAATTGCCATATTCTAAGCTTCAAAAGTTAGCTAGACATGGACCTATGTTGGTGGACAAAACATTCAATTATTATTTTTTATTTATTTAGTGGAAAAAATTATTTGATACTTATATTGACGATGGATAGTATAAATATTCAGTGTAATTAGTCAAGATATGCAAGTTAACCCTAATATCACGATTATTAAAAAAAAGAGTTAACTTTTAACATCAACTATTGAGTAATCCTGTCGATCAAAACCTAGTGTTATTTTACTTTCTTTTTCCCAATATTGTAAGGATAGAATCAAGAAAATGCAAAATCAAATATGTGATTTTTTTATTAATTTTTATTTCAAGTTATATTCTTGAAATAATGATAAAGAATTATCCACACACTTCACCTTCTTGTTTTAATTTTAAAGTAGCATCCCAATCAGAACCCATGAATGACCACACACAAAATACAAATAACAATAATGTGATAGTGGTATAGAATCCCAATAAGTTCCTCCATATCATGTGCACAAAAAAAGTGAAAATTTAAATGAGAACAATACAATCTCCTTGGAACAATCAAACAAAATAAAAAGGTCCATGTTCCTTTGTTTTCATCAAACTCACACTTACTTCCGCCATTTTAAATTATCCGTCGTGATTTTAAAAATTAAATGTCTTATATTTAAGATATAAATAAAGATTAAAAAAAGATAAAATTTTATTCTCTGATTAATATTTTTTTTAAACATATAAAAGAGAAACACGACAGATAATTTGTAATCGAGAGAATAGTTCCATACATTAGTCCAAATGAGTGGAGAGATTATTGAGAAAGTAAGGAATCCCATAAAAAAATCTCATTAAACTATGACAAAGAAGTTTCACATTATTTTCTACATATTGTCTTGAAATAATGTCCTCAAAATCATAGAAAGATTTGTTTGGTTGCTTCTTTGCTAAAAACTCCTAATTGCTTAATTTATTCTTCATGTGTACCTCTTATAATTATTTGCATGACCTTTTAATTTGTTTGGTGGAAATCCATCTTTCTATGCCAATTTTTCCTCCTTGAAACAAGGTTGTCAAAATGCTTTCAATTTTCAATAGTTATGTACATGATCTCAACATCAACTTTTCATTGCCTTTAATAAAGGATTTGATATATCGACAAGAGATTTCGAGTTTGAGTCTGCATAAAAAATAATTTTTAATAAAAATTAAAGTGTTATACTTTTCAATTAATCAATTTATCTTGGTTAAATTGATTCTTTATCATTTTAAAAAATTAGTTCTCTTCATTATTTTTGTTTCCTTCGATAAAAAAGTTATATTTTTTTAAAAAAATAATGACTATTAGTTAAGTAAAGAAACTAATTGCATGCTAAATTAAGATCAAGACTAAGGGATTATTATATAAGTAAATAAATATGATGTGACAAATAATTAAATTAAATAACGTGTATAATGGGGAAGGAAGTTACATAGTTATGGAGTTTGTCTTATTATTCTTCTCTTTTATAGAAAAAGAAAAGTTTGGGCATGTGTATTCTGCTTTGAAGTGTCATGTGGAGCTTGTACTATTTTTAGAGTGGAAATAATTACTCAAATTATTTCCATTTTCACAATTAAATAATTTCATTTAATAATTTTTACAATTAAATAATTTCATTTTGATCGAGGGTATAAATATTTTTTAAAATATATTTGGAAAGCTTCGAATTCAAGCTCTCTAATTAAGGGCGAATAAATTGATACATACCACTAGTTAGCTATATGTTGAAGATAATTGAACACTTAATTAATTAACCTAATAAAGATAGCTTACGTAAAATTAGCCACTTAATTTGAATTTTATATATATACTTCTAAAAAAAGTAGGATGATTAGTCATTTGTGTGGAGTATAAAAATTCTTATCACCTAATAATCGTGTTAATAGCCGACTCTTAGTTTTTAAACGTTAAAAATAAACATTATTTTTTTTAAAAAAAATCTTTATGTAGAGCAATTACGTTGAAATTCATCATATTTAAGTATGAAAATGACTCCTCTTAATTAAAATGAAAATATTGGAAACATAAGTGGGTGGTTATCAATTTGATTTGTGTTTATTTTTTGATATTTTATATTTATTTCAAGAAAATTGTGAAAATATAATAACTTAAATTAATTTTAACGAAATTTAACTTCAGATATATTAACTAAAGTTTTATATGACTGAAACTTAATAATATATGACTTAAGTTAAATGATTAAGTTTCGTTAAAAATGACTAAAAGTTCAATTATTTTATCTGAACTTAAAGTATGAACTTCACTTATATAGGAGTATAACTTCTTGTATTTGTGAAGTTTGAATTCGTCAAACTCCAACTTCAAAACACCATATTTGAAATGGACATGTTTGAGTATTGTTTTAGAAATCTAATTACAAATTAAATAACGATATTAAAGATATTTATCGTGAAATATTTTCATAATTTAAATATATTTAAGATAAAAGACATATTACATACTCCATTTTACAAATTAAATGGTACGGTCCACAATTCTTTAAAAATATTCCAACTTAAAATTTGTGGTTCCCATATTGACTAATTAAGGAATTCTATACTCTATTATTCCAAAAAATAAAACAAAAATTGTTGGTTGGTTTATGCTAATCCTAATCCCTAATTTCGAAAAAAGCCACCTAATTAGCACTTAATTAACAATTAATCAATTTAGAAGAATAGGTCAAGCAAAGCAGGTAACATTATTTTTGTTGTAACTCAAAACTAATCAGGGGCATACCTAAGTGGGGATTTGGAGAGCCCGGTAATTTTTTTATAGATCTGTATTTGTATTAATTTTTTTTTTATATGTATACATATATATATTTATAAGAAAATAATTAATTATTAGAAACACACTTGTTTTCGTGAAAATATTTTCCTTTTAATGATTTATTTGTTAAACAAATCATATAGACATCAATAAAATGGAGTTTCACATAAGTACAAGAAGATAGGGTACTAACAACCAATTTTGTCTAGTTAATTATCAGCATCCTGATTGAAGAACGAAATAAAGATTAATCGAGCTTCAATATAGATATCGGACATTACTATTAAAAAAACGAAATAAATAAATAAATTTCATCAAAGCATTGTGGTTTGGGCCACGATATGAAGCTGGGCTTAGTACAATTTGGGCCTCAATTGTAACTCCCCTTTAAAGCTGGAGTCATGAAAATGAGACCCATATCCTCTTTGGCCCAAAATACTTTTTATATAGACATACTCCACTACGATATATACTATTATTATCTATATTATACATTAAGAAAGATAAATGTACTTTTACTATCAACTACACTAAAATAGAAAGAGAGGCGAGCGATATTTGTAATATATCTTAGATACATGCGAATCATACTAGATAGGTGTCTCTAGTATGATTCACATGCATCTAGTAATCGTGTGACAACCAACATAGGAGGGGGGCAGCGACAGAGCTAGAATTTTTAATAAGGGGATTTAATATCTGAAGAACTAAACACAAACTAATCGAAGGAGGTTCAACGTCTATTAGGTATACCTAAAAAAATATTTAAATAAGTAAAATTTTCCGTCGAAGGGGATTCGTATGAACCCCCTTACGGAAGGTTGGCTCCGCCTCTAGAGGAAGACAAGCAAGATTTGTTATGTATCCCAAATACATGTTAATCTACTTGGATACAGTATATTTAGGAC